TGAGGACTGACCGTTCGTGTCCTCTTCGATTTGTGATTTTTGTAAATGATTTGGATGTAGGGGTGGAAGGGTGGATTAGTAAGTTTGTGGACGATACGAAGGTGGGTCGAGTTGTGGATAGTGCGGAGGGCTGTTCTAGGTTACAAAGGAACATTGATAGGATGCAGAGCTGGGCTGAGAAGTGGCAGATGGAGTTTAACCCTGAAAAGTGTGAGATGATTCATTCTGGAAGGACAAACTTGAAAGCAGAATACAGGGTTAACGGACAGATTCTTGGCATTGTGGAGGAGCAGAGGGATCTTGGGGTTCATGTCCACAGTTCCCTGAAAGCTGCCACCCAGGTGGATAGAGTTGTTAAGAAGGCGTAGGGTGTGTTAGCTTTCATTAATAGAGGGATTGAGTTCAAGAACCGTGAAGCTATGCTCCAGCTATACAAAAGCCTGATTCGGCCACATCTGGAGTATTGTGTCCAGTTCTGGTCGCCTCATTACAGGAAAGATGTGGAAGCGTTGGAAAAGGTGCAGAATGTTGCCTGGAATGGAGGGAAGATCTTACTGGGAAAGGTTGAGAGAGGCTAGGGCTTTTCTTTTTAGAATGATAAAGGATGAGATGTGGCTGGATAGAAGTGTACAAGACGATCAGAGGTATAGATAGGGTGGAAAGCCAGAGACTTTTCCTGAGGGTGGAGGTAGCTATTATGAGGGGCCATAGTTTTAAAGTGAGTGGAGGTAGATATAGGGGGGACGTTAGAGGTAGGTTCTTTACTCAGAGAGTGGTCGGGGCGTGGAATGCATTGCTGGAGAGGGTAGTGGAGTCGGCCTCATTAGGGGCATTTAAGCGGCTATTAGATAGGCATATGGATGCTAGTATAAGGTAGGGATGGAGGTTAGATAGACCTTAGGATTAGGGTAAAATTTCGGCACAACATTGTGGGCCGAAGGGCCTGTACTGTGCTGTACTGTTCTATGTTCTATGTTCTATTCAAATAGATGGACAAGGGAAAATATTTCAATTTGGCTGTAAAGGTGGAGTCATCATAGTTCTACCAGTCCCTAGGGCTGCTCTTTCATTAGACAGAGATTCTATGGAATCCCTACAATATGGACACAGGCCATTCAGCCCAACCAGCCCATACTGACCCCCCAAACAGCATCCCACCCAGACTCATCCATATACCCTTTCTCTGTAACCCTACATTTTCCATGGCTAACACACCTAACCTGCACAGGATGAGGCAATTTAACATGGCCATTTCACCTAACTTGCACATCTTTGGACTGTGGGAGGAAACCCCAGGAGAATGTGCAAACTCCACACAGACAGCCACCCAAAGGTGGAATTGAACCCAAGTCCCGAGCACTGTGAGGCAGCAGTGCTAACTGCTGAGGCACCATGCCACACAAATGAATAGAGGTGGGTACCACACCTCAGGTGAGGGAGAGGATGAGAGACCTTCATAATAACCTCAGCCAGTGCAGTGATTGAACCCATGCTGTTGGCATTAACTCTCCTGCAAACCAGCCATCCAACCAAGTGAGCTAACCAAACTACTCAGCTGGGTGAGTAGATTCAAGACTGTGCTGGATAGACTTATGGACCAGAAATAAACCATGGGGTTTTGTAGATAGTGTGGGAAGGTCAAGTTGAAATGGAAGATATATTAGCCATGATCATCTGGAATAGCAGAGCACATTTGAGGGGCTCAATGGCCTACTCCTATTCGTCATATTCCTCTTATCTATTAGATTTTTTTAAAAAATCACAGAATGTTTTGTTGCCATTTTAGTTCTGTGCACAAGCACAAATGTACAACTGGCAAAACTTAAGATGAGAAAAAAACTCAAAACATCCATCAACCTAATGGCTTCAACACTTGTCAGAAAATTATCATTTCCGAAGTGAACAGCTTTTAATTTGATACACTGAATGACAGAAGTAGAAATGCCTGTTGTACTAATTTGCAAAGTGCAAATACATTGCCAACTACATCAGCTCCAAACTCAAAAACGAACAACAGCTGAGTAAACTCCGAGTGACTGAAAACAGCTGAGTAAACTCCGAGTG